CAGGAATTTGTCCTGTGTCCCAAATTTTATTAAACAAGTCCAACACTCCAGATAATGAAATATCCCCTAAATGTGCTATCATTACTTTCTAAACACCATCCTTTCCAGGGGATGAAACTCTAGCTTTAGCTAAAGCCCTGATGAATTCAGACATAGTAAAAGGCAAATCCAAGTCTGTATTCTGTGTATCATTAACTTCTACAGTACTGGAATATTGTCTGATGGTTTCAGTCCTGCATAGTCTGTCTTGTAATGATAGGTTTCCATTACTATATGTTTTGGAAAACAATTCTGCCATTAGATTTGCTGTCTTTGTCATTTATTGCAATTTTACTTGTGGAGGTTGAATTTTCTAAGGATAGCAAACGTGTCTTACTCGCTCCCTGCACATGTTTCTTCCTCTTCCAGCATCATATTCACTTCAGCGAGCCACATAAAAGTCCACTTCCACAACGATTGCAAGAATAATATAATATCTTGGTTTAATTTAGCGGCTCAAAAGAAAACGAACATAGCAAATTCCACAAGTTATAACATAACTAAATGTGAATACTGTCGAAAGGAAACATGTTGTTACAGACCTACGGTAAGAAAACCGTGTGCTTCCAAACTCTTCAGAACCTGTTTTCCCCGCAAACTAAGACGGGAAGTAGCGTGACTTTCTTAAAGCCACAGTACACAGTACTTTGTTTTTTCAGCCATGTTTCTTGAATGTACAATATCTGTGGTTTGTATTGTAATTTTGTTAAATAGCTCTTGAATTCCAGCCCATTTGGAATAAGACTTCTAGCATTCCACTGAAGGACAGTAACTATCATTATGAACCCCTTATGACTCACATACTTTTTACTTTGACCAGTAATTTATGCACACTATTAGTCAAGCTTATGGGGGCTCCACTCACTGAAGGACATCCCTTCCTGACTCAACTTAAAGACCACCCTGAACTCCACCTTCCTTTTTAATAATTTTCCCCCTGTGTATCTCACCTTCAGGGCCATCAGATGAATTGGACTCCGACGTCAGTCTACGTTTTCCCCTTTGCACTACACACCAACCCTCACTACTACCATCACATTCCATGTTTCCAAATTCCCTACCAGAATCCTAAATTCCTTCAGCCCATTCTCATCCATTCTCAGCCCAGTTGCCCTTCAAACCACCTGTCCGAACCTAGCTCCATTCTCTGCCTCTGGTGCAAAAGTCCCACCAATCAGTTGCTCCTTGTGTCACGTGGCTCACAGAGCGCTTCAAGGAAGTCTGATGATTAACTCTTCTTCTAAAAAAAAGTGCCCTGGATTTTGTCTTTTGAATTAAATGGCACCATAAGGACCGATGAGGCTAGGAATAAGGCTGACAACCCTCTTAGTCACTGCTAGGGAACAGCTGGGCCTGGGCTGTCCTCTTGACACTCACCATGTTTAACTATACCAGTTGTTTTATTCCACAGGATGGTGTTCATTTCTGCCCATGTAGTGCTGTCTATGAAATTATTGGACATGAATTCTAGGATTGGTTTGGTTTGGTGTACCGTCTCTTAGTTTTAGGCGTAGGATGGCGGTCCTCCCATGATGCTCTGGGCTCCTCCTCCACTCTTCTCTCCATCTTATTTCTGTATACCACCATTACATGTTCTAACTCGTGTTCCTCTGCAGCTGAACATTTTTGATGAACAGTCACATCGACTTGTCCAGTGTTTGTTTGTTGTCTTGATGCTTTTCTTTCTGTTCTCTCTCTCCTCTATCCACTCACCACAACTAGTCGAGGCAGAAGGCCGCCCACCAAGAGCCGGGGTCTGTTGGAGGTTTCTTCTGTTAAAGGGAGTTTTTCCTCCCTAGTGTGACCCAGTGCCACTGAAGGGGGATTTGTTGGATTTTTGCTATAATAGTGTAACGTGTAAACCTTACTATGTGAAAGTGTCATGAGAAGATTGTTGCTGTGAATTGTTGCTTTACAAATACAATTGAATTATATTGAATTTTTAAAATTGTATTTACTGTACTAAATTTGAGTTTTGACTGATATGAAGTTGCTGCATTTGCTAATTTGTAATGTTTTAATTTTTATTCTAAAGTCTAAAGAGTGAGTTGCTGTTATTTGAATTTCCTAATTTAATCACATTTTGAGTTCATGCATCAGTGTGAAAATGATGACACATTCTACAGGCTTTACAGCACTTTGTTTTTCTCTCTCACTACATCAGTGACCTGTTCCCTGTGTCCCTTTGTCCCTCCAGAGCTGCCACAGCAACATGTCTGTAAGGAGGAGGTTGTGGCTGGCCAACAGCTCTGTGACCAGGAGAGGAACGCCAGTCTGGACCAAGAGGACCCAGAGCCTCCAGAGATTAAAGAGGAACAGGAGGACGTCCGTAGCAGTCAGGAGGGAGAGCAGCTTGGACTGAAGCAGGAGAGCAATCCCTTTGTGTTGACTGCTACTGATGAGGACAGTGACCACAGTGAACCAGAACCAGAACCAGACAGTGACCAGCAGCTCCTCTCTCACAGCTCCCCTGTAGCTGAGAGCCAGGATCAGAAAGGAAACCAGCATGTAGACTCAGGATCAACCAGTGACAGTAGGAATGTGGACAACTCTCCCATGTCACAGACTGAGTGTGATCCTACCACAGGTAACAAGTCCTTCACATGTGACACTTGTGGGAGAACTTGTAGACGCAAGTCCAATTTGAACCAACATTTGAGAATCCACACAGGTGAGAAGCCATATTCTTGCAACACATGTGGGAAGAGTTTCACTTGTAATAGTTCTTTAAATACCCATCAGAGAATCCACACCGGTGAGAAGCCACATGTTTGCAACACATGTGGGAAGAGTTTCACACAAAGTGGTAACTTGCATGACCACATGAGAATTCACTCTGGTGACAAGCCATATTCTTGTAAAACATGTGGGAAAGGATTCATTAAGAGCTCAACCTTGACTGCCCATTTAAGAATCCACACCGGTGAGAAGCCGTTTATTTGCAACACTTGTGGGAACGGATTCAAACGGAGGTCACATTTGACAAATCATTTAAGAATCCACACCGGTGAGAAGCCATATTTTTGCGACACCTGTAGGAAAGGATTCAGTGAGAGGTCAACCTTGAATGCCCATTTAAGAATCCACACAGGTGAGAAGCCGTATATTTGTGACACTTGTGGTAAGGGATTCGTGTGGAGCTCACATTTGACGAATCATTTAAGAATCCACACAGGGGAGAAGCCATATTTTTGCGACACCTGTAGGAAAGGATTCAGACGAAGGTCAAACTTGAATGCCCATTTAAGAATCCACACTGGTGAAAGGCCGTTTCCTTGCAGCACTTGAGGAAAAGGTTTCACAGAGAACAGGGCCTTGCAGGTCCACATGAAGGTCCACACAGGTAAGAAGTAGGGTAGCAACAGTGTGAGATTTTCCCAGTATGATAACTGTCTTATTGTGGTTTCACAGTATCATCGTATAACATGTTACACCATTACTATGATTAAAGTAATTAAAACAGAAGGGTTTTTTTTTATATAAATTGCAAACAGGGTCAGAAGTTAACACCCACCAGGAGTCAAAAACTGGTAGATTTTCCATTTAGTGAGTAAATCTCAGAAGACCACCTGCCACACTGGTGGGTAAATGTTTGTAGCAAAATAGTCATGGACTAAAACTGTATCCTGCCCTGCTTCTGTTTGTCAGAGTCTGAGACGCACACCCGTGTCTGTGAAGACCTGCTCCTGCTCTGCCTCTGGTTGACTATAGTTTGCATGTTAGCACCAGTAGTGGAGGAAATATTCAGATCCTTTATTTAAAGCTACTGAATGCAACTTGTTTGAATATTTTTGCTGTAGAAATGTGCTCCAAAACTTGTCTTGATGTGGAGAGGTACTGTCGAAGCCCCTCTACACACTATTTACAGTGGGTACGGAAAGTATTCAGACCCCCTTAAATTTTTCACTCTGTTATATTGCAGCCATATGCTAAAATCATTTAAGTTCATTTTTTTCCTCATTAATGTACACACAGCACCCCATATTGACAGAAAAACACAGAATTTTTGACATTTTAGCAGATTTATTAAAAAAGAAAAACTGAAATATCACATGGTCATAAGTATTCAGACCCTTTGCTGTGACACTCATATATTTAACTTAGGTGCTGTCCATTTCTTCTGATCATCCCTCAGATGGTTCTACACCTTCATTTGAGTCCAGCTGTGTTTGATTATACTGATTGACCGTGATTAGGAAAGCCACCCACCTGTCTATATAAGACCCTACAGCTCACACTGCATGTCAGAGCAAATGAGAATCATGAGGTCAAAGGAA